CCATGTCGCGCTCCCTTTCTATCCGTTGTCTACGCACATTAAATCAGGTTGGAATGTTAGAAGAAGAATACCATATGTAGAAATTTACATAGTTACGGTCAATTAAGTGTCTCTTTTGACCACATGTTTTGTCTGGTAAAAGAGGTGCTTCGAGGTGCTTAGTAACCTGTATTTTTCTGATTCGGCTGATCGATCTCAAGTACCACCGGGTTTATTCATTCTCATCTCTCGACTCACCCGATCAACCGTCTAAGACAACAATCCCGGATGAACAAAGATTAGACACCGAGGCCTTCATTTGACCATTGATTACTTTTATTTGCTTATGAAGAAATCAGTTCAGTCGGATTGAACTGGCGTTATGATAGCCTCGGTTCTAACAGGTAAAGCGTGACGATTGAAGGAAACATTAACCCTTTATTAGCCCCCGAAATCTCTGTAGAGACCTACAGAAACCATGGAGCAACTGTTTCGTCCTTGTTAGGACTCGTAAGGAGTGCGTACCTTTTGTGTCCCTGCCGGAACTCGAACCGAGAACCTTCGGGTGAGAGTTGGAACGCTATCTTGTGAGCTACCTGGTCAACGATCCCAGTGGGGACGTGCAATGGCCTAGCGAAGAAACCCAGTCATATGCGTACACACACGCACCAGTCACGGCTAATAAACAAAGCCCTCGCATACCGTCGAAGTGAATGCGGACAGACACAGGTGAGACAGCGCGTGTATTATTCTCCCTATCCTTATAAACCCAATCGGCTGTCTCGCCTGATCAGTGTGTCAAGAAAGCTCGGTGAATACAGTTTGTGGACCATATTTTGTTCTTGCGACTTCTATCCATGTAACAAGGGATATAGCAGGACGCAAGCAGTGTGCACTGCTCATGAATTCCAACAGCTGTCCAGTGCTTTAGGTCAGTCCTCACAGAGATTTTCTATTGCAAATAAATGCATTCAGCACTAGAAAATTCGGGATCTTCACCCCACCCCCGCTTGCAACGGTCATTTTTAACTCGTTTTCGCATTCATCGCTTGGATGTCTCATCTAGTGTCCGCCGCGCATTGAACCACCTGCACTCTTGACCTCCGTGTTTGACAAATAATACGTTTGGAAGTAATACCTCACTGAAGTGGAACCTGTAAAATCAAGGTTCTCTTTTTGATGAGGGTAAGCAGAATCTGGGAAATAAAACGATTCCTGTATCAAATTTGCATTGCGGTATAGAGGCACAGGTAAAATGCGCACATATTGTGTAAATTTCATGCTATCGGGAACTCCTCAGTCATGCCAAAACTGATTACACACATTGGTGGTTGAAGTGACTAGAATGTGCATAATCTCCCTCATTTGGTCCAATTCACAACTGAATAAGCAGTACAACTTTAAGCTAGATGTATATTACGACTGAATACAAGATTAGTATATATTCAAATGATCTCATTGATTGATATATTCTACAGAGGTTACATTTTTTTTATTACACACTTTCGTTTGATGAACAGTAAACGGGGCGAACCCCATAGTCACGAGGACCTGTTGTTCTTCATTGATGGAAACCGGTAACCTAAGCCCCGAGACTTGGAGTGGCGAACCGCATAAGGCCCCAATAGGTTAGGCGTGGTATTGAACCGGAAGACGGCGAAGCTGCCTATCACCAAAGTTGGGTGGCGATGTCGGGGCTCGAACCTCGGACTATAGGGTCCAAAACACGCCTGCAACAGCGACTAAACCAATGCGCCACCACCACCGAACGAACACAATTTTTTGTTAACTATGAGCACCAACTCATGCCACAGAATATTTCGTTGCGCGTAAAGCAGACCACGTTTGACTTGTTATTCCACCTGTGAGTAACCCATTTCTCTTTTTCGTTTGGGAAGACTCTGCAGCTGGTTGGTTAGAGACACTGAAGGATATAGCAGTGGTGTTCTTGTTGTCATTTCTTATCAGACCAGAGTACTCGAAACAGTAAGTATGCACAGTGAGGTTGTGTACTGTGTGTGTTGACTTTAGAGGTTCTCCTTCTTCCCCCTTCCTCAAATCAGTTCCAATCCCTGTCCTGCTTCCATATTCCCTTTTCGAGTTTGGCAGCGTCCAGTGAAGGTCCCTTGGCTGCATCTCGATGATGATGTTTGGAAAGCATCCGGTTGGGAAGCGGCTACTTAATAACGCAACGATATGCGATTCTCTCAATTCTTGTGCAAGCACCATAGCACATTGCTTTCACGTATACGCGTATGCACTCACATGTCGTGTGTAGGTGTGTGCAACAATTCTCTGCGTTCAAGGCTACGACAGCACCAAGCGTGTTTGATCAGACTGTGATGGTCCATCGACCGGATGCGCGCGTCGAGTGATGTATTCTTTCAATATAGCATCCACTACGTTGGTGCCTGTAAAGCGAACGAATACTGTTCAGCCGATACAACCCTATAATTGGTGGAGATACGATCTGGCCTCAAATTGGGAAAATTCATGAAAAGAATTGTGCAACCCTTGCCAAATTCAATGGTCAAACTGATCTTTTGTCTTTTCCACTGGTGTTTACTGCTGAGGAATTGCTGGAACTCTTCAAAAGTGAAACCCACATCTGAGACTCTTCGCAATAGCTAGTGTCTGTGCGCAATCGATTGGACTAAACCCAAACATGATGTGTGATATGAACATACTTTGGACTCTCTCAGCGCAGTGGAATGATTGAAGATGCGTGGCAGGATGGCCCCCGGCTCGTGTTCTCGCAAATAGGGTCGATACGAGGCTTAGTGGGTGACGGCGGTGGAATGGCTGTACGGGTAGCGAGACACCGAAGTTGCGAGAAAACACTGACAGACTATTCGTCCGTGGTTCGGGGTTAGCAATAAACGTGCAATGTGAAAAAAGTAGAAATCCAAGAACCCAAAAGATCCAGTGAGACACAAGTACTGAGTATAAAATATCACTGGCATGGGTGCCAATCGTTACAGATATTATTACGAAAGGAAAATACTGACCATTTTGTGGTTTCCGTGTTAAAATACGATTGGGGAATTCACTCGAACTTGGATTGGTATCGCACTAAAGTCATCGGAAACTTTCTGTGTATATTCTTCAGGACGTGGCCTAGTCTCGGGTTGTATTGCTTGCAAACCGCAGTGATCATTTCAGATACACGTGATCATTTGGCAAAATGGCATTTAGGGTTTATCATCCAATCTCTTTTTAGACCCATCTGTCCTCCGCTGCTGTCACTGCAGATGTACTACTATTACTACCACTGGTTACTGTTTTTGGCTAATTCCAAAACACCGCGATAGATAACATGATAAGTTTAGTATTCTCATGTCAACACCGTCTGTTCTTTCACTTTTCTTATTGACAATTGGTTCCCTGTGTGTGTATGCATGCTGGTTCGTTGTTTTTGTTGTTGTTGTACAGTACGTTCTCTCGCTGCTAGGAGGAGGATTCCTCGATGAGTTGAAGTTCATAAACGTGGATCTACGAATTGAACGCGTGCAGACCGGTTAACTGTTCCCATCACAAGGTGGTGGCGGTGGTGTTTGTTAGGTCTGTTTGTCCTCACAGATTGCTCTGACAGATCTCATATGCACTAGGGCTGGCCTTGATATTTCCCCAGAAATATTTCTGCCCTATGAGTTTAGTTGCTACACGCAGTTAAGTACTTTTTTTTAGCACTCGGCACTATTTTGGTTTATTTTCAGCAGCCTGTTTGTCCTGCACGTGTGCCAGTGTGGCCATGTTCAAGATGCATTTTACACCTTAAAAGTGTAAAATATTGCTACAGGATTCGGTTAGCCTTGCTCCAAATTTCAGACGAACTATGGATGCAATGAAGGAAGTAGATGAATTTTGCAATTGGGGCAACCATACCTCACCCGGAGGACGCCTCGCGGAGAAACTGTTGGCACGCATATAGTGATATCAATTGACATTTGTCAATTTGGTATATGTTTGACGCTGAGCGCACGTTTGGCTGTCTACAAAGAGTGAAGTGTATGCTCCAGCAGTGTCGTTTTACGGCGCAGAGACTGGACCATTACGGGAATAAGGTAAAGCGAGACTTTCAGTGTTCGAACACCGTTGTCTACTCTCCGTGGCGCAACCGGACGGGCAATCTTGAGGTAAAAGCGTACAGTTTTAGGATTTCGCGATCGCCTACTGGCTGCAAATGATCGACTTCCATAGATTACGTTGTCGTTTGGGGTATGCGTTACGCATGCCATTCCCACGGCGAAGTGTTCACCAAGGAAGGTGATGGTTGAAAGAAAGTCAAAGGCGATCAAACTAGTACTTTTCATGGGGGGGGGATGAAAACCCTGATCAGACAACTTGCTCACATGGTCCGCGTTAGGCTTTCTGGATGCGGTTCTCGAGCCCAGTGTAACCGATGGTTGGAGACACTGATTAATATAGTGTTGAGTGTCATGAACAAGGCAATCGTTCATCGACTCATTATCCTTGCAACCTTAGCTTACCTGCATTCTCTTTGAAACTGCTATCAGTGTTCTACTCCTCTCTCTCTCCCTTGATTCAAATGGGAAGTCAGAAGATAGCTACCAAAACTGACCCACGGAAGTGCGTGATTGTATGAACTGAAACTGTGTCCTTTGGTTTATGTGTTTGTGTAGCACCTAAAAATCATCAGTATTGATTCTCGGCTGTTGTTGTTATTTTTCTCCAATTACCGGCACTTGGGTTATTTACACATCCTGTTGTCTTATGGTTTACCAAATCGATCACTCAAGTTTTCGTCGGTGAAAGGCTGGATTTTTGTTTGAATCACGTGCCGGGCAGAGTTCGACAGTTTGATCAGTTCGATGGGGGTCCGCTTAATTTGTGGATCAAGCAGCCACTAGACAGGCTCGCGAATCACGTGTTCCAGTGGCACAAAATCAGTGCGCGGTAACAGATGCTTGTGATTGAACTTTCCGCGCACGCATTGATCTGTAAATATATATATTCAATGGACCGAAATTTGGGGAATAGACAGGAAGGGAAATTTAAAGATGAAATTCATCGATCCGATAGGGATTGGTGCAACCTCCGTCCATTGTGAGGTACTGAAGCAACTCACGGAGTGCGAGTTCTCAGTCCCGCCGATTTTGCCCCCACCCTTTCGATTTCTTCACTCCAATATACAATGAGTGGATTTTGTCCACACACACAACCCCCCCCGGAAAACCCACACTGCACAGCTTCCTGTGCTACTACTGCTACTGTTTGGACGGGATCAGAACATTGATCATGATGAAGCAAACATTCAGACATGAAATTTTGCTTTTATAACAAACATGTGAACGCAGGTTAGCAAACAAGTTTCGGTGCCATATCAGCTGACTATACAGCACGATGTATAGTCGAACAAAAACAGATGACCAGAGGTGACACGTAATTACTAAATAAATCAAAGTTTCGCTGGAAATAATGTTTTGCGACCTGGTAATCGTGGTGTTTGTCTGGGTGGAAGTGGGTGATTGTGAATAAGTGAGTAGGCGGAGTAGTGAGAGCTTATGGTCGGGGGTTGCATCATCAGATTATAAGCAGATTACTTTTGACTTGGAAAATTGTTTCCAGACCCACAAGGGGCCGGAGAGGGTTGTACGGTAATCGCTTCAGATGTAAACACTTGACTTTTCTGAATAACCTTCCCGTAAACCGTAGACAGGAGAGAAAGTCTCAGGTGTATCGGATGTGTGATTAAACTGTTTGTCAACTACGTTCGTAATTGCTCTCAGACAAGTCCATGTCAATCCAAGTTCTCTTTTAAATTGTGCTCTGTATTCAACCAACCAGTTGTTGATGTTGCACCGAAAACCAGCTTGTTTGTAAAACTTATGTTCTCATGACTATTCAACCGGGAATATTTTCGCATAACCAATATGTTTTGTTGAATTCACACGCTCTGAACTAGTGTCATAATTCCAAGAAGCGGTGCTCGGTCGAGGATACTTTTTTTTGGCAATAACGATCAGGATATGATTAAATTATCATTCATACAACAAAATATCTCATTTGGAACAAGGTTGTAGAATTCCCACACGCACACAGAATAGTTGATGTAACTGTCCACTATCAGATGCGCATTCTTGTATTCACCATATCGAACAGCAGCAGTTTGCTCCAACAGGTCTTGTTGATTTTTGGTCGTTGAAAGAAACCGCTGATCGCATCTTTTTGGATACTACTCACATGTGAGTAATATCTCACAACACTTGTACGGGTACTGCCATTACCCGTCTTGTTTTTGTTTCTACTCGGATTGCTTGCATTTCGATGCTCAGAATTTCGTACATATTACCACTTGTTCTATGGTGTAAATCTTGCACTGAATAGAAAATTGCGGATATTAAAAAACAATCGATTTTGTTAATCATCTTCATATACATTTGTTCCCACTTCTCATGCTTACCGATCCCTTTCTTGAGTTGACTTGCGTTTCTGCAACTCACCTGTTTGAGCAAGGCAACCTGTCATTACTCACCGTCTAACTACCGAATGCCGGTTTGGTGTACCACATTACGTCCCACGCAAAAATGGATGGACAACGTTTGATTCGACCAACAGTTGCTGAATAAACCCTGATCTGATCAATCCATATCTCAGTCCCAATTTTGTCATCCGTCCGGTTTCCGTATTACGAATGAGCTCGATCAAACTTGTTCGAGAAAAAATCTCTGCGTTTAATTCATGGGATTGTATTGTTCCTGACCATTTTCGTAAATTGTTTTCTACCTCTATTGTTTGTTTCTTTCATTAACCACTCCCCGCCCCCCCCCGCCGATTTCCCTGTTTTTCAGAGCAAATGGAGTGGACCAATCATGAGCATTCTGGGCATTCCCCACCAGATCCTTCCTGATGTATGTCCTTCCAGGTAAGTCTGATTGTAGTTTTTTCTCTCTCTCGNNCGTGGGATGTCCCTTGTTTCAGAATCACTTCTCATCTGGTGCGACTGCGTCCGTGTTTACTTCGCCGAAGCAAACTATGAATCTTTTATGTTGTTTTAAAGTTTATTAGACCGTGATTTATTTGGGACACAAACTGAAATACAATAATGTTGACCAAAACGAAACGGATGACTAGGTAAACGAATGATGAACACTGGAATCTAACAAAGACAATTCAGAATTTCATCCGGATTACCCTAAATTTTCAGTCTCTCTCCGATTTTAGTGCCAGATTGCAGAATAGTTATGGACTGCGGGTAGGGGCAGGAGCTATAGTGAATGAACTTCATCCTTTCTTCATAGTTTCTCATCCTAATTCGAAATCTCCCAATGTGGACTACAGTTTTTCGTGTCAGTGTTCCGTACACAAATATCATGTGAATAAGCCGTTTTTAATTCATGCCAACGCGCTTTAACCAGCGGGACTAGACTTCATACTCATGCAGGTTTATTGCTTGCATGAGACATACCGAATCCCAGTTTCGATAAATCCATTAAAGTTCTCCATAGGGATAGGTGATGAATAGCTCTGGTGTCGACCAACGCAACACCTGATCTTTATTGTGTGAGCGTTGTATTCTCTTCACCCCGGACTCGTGGAACTAAGAACAAAATTTGCTATGGATTTACACAGCGTGAAGTGTTGTTTTACGTGCTCTGAATCGCAACATTGGTTCTGTGCACCACCGCCTTGAATCCGCTTGTCTTATGATTCTCCCCTGGTCTGAGACCCAGTCGTCTTCCTCAAGCAATTCAACCCATTTTTTGTTCTCTCATCTCACCATTTTTCTTTCAAAGCTGGAGTAATTGCATCTGTTTGCCAGCTAGCACCAGTCCTGCCCTTTTATCCAAATGGGCGGCCAAAAGACAGCAACCAAAACCGGCGCATGAAAGTGTATAGTTGTAAAAACTGAACTGAACTATATTAATCTTCTTAGGTGCATATTCCAGTTCTTATGACTGTAATTTATACATGGTGAAAATCTCTTTGATGACCGATGAAGAGCATCGAACAGCTGTTCCGCACTGGTTAGTAGTGCGTACGTTTTGTGCGTTCCTTTCGGGGCTTGAATCACGAACCTTCAGGCTGGGAGTCGAAGTCCTCACTCCTGAGCTACACGGACGAAGGTCAGAAACATCAGTCAGCGATGCCTGGAGCCTGTGCACAATTGACTGTCCTCATCTAATCCAACAGCACGATCTAAGATGCTTATTGTATTACGTAAACCGGACCTAGCGGTACTCTGTTAAAAACCCAACAATTCATGCATAGTCCTAACCAAATCCCAGTTTGATGACGTTTATCTGCCGGATCGGAACTTGCTACGTTCCCCCCTCCAGGGCTATTCAGTTTGCGCTTTTCCGTATTTCGTCAATGAGTGCCTGAACTCTCCACATAGAAACTGTTTCGTATTTAATTGATGTGACCCGTTCCTCATTCCACTCGTTATCGTAATCTAATATCTCCACCTTACATGGAAACTGTGTCGTACTAACTGTTATCACTCGTTCTGCGCTCTGTCTATTTTCCCACTTACTTACGGTAACCATCTGTCACCCTACCCGTCTTTAGTGTCACTTCGCTATCCCATCCCTGTGATTGGTCCTCACCGCCCTTTAAATACCACTGTCGCTATATCCACATCGCAATTTTGCATAGAGTTTTCCTGGTACGTCTGCCCTTGTCATGTGGAACCGATTGTTTTGTCCAGACCGGGGTTCCCACTAATTTCAGGTATGCTGTTGTATTTCCATTAGTTCATGAATGATTATGCAATAGTACACGTATATTTCCCAGCCTTGTTTTCTGACGCGGATTCGGGGTTCGGTTCTGCAAGTCACACTCTTCGGACGTCATTCTGGTACAGCCACTGCATTTACATTGCTATCCCAATAGTCTGGATTGTTCTGGACCTTTTTTTGCTGTACACGGAAACTACTTCGCCATCCGATTGCCATGTCCAGATTATTTTCCTCGGCGATTTTAATGTTTACAATCAACATAAAACTTCTGTAGTAGACCACCCTGCTTTCGTTCAATGTCACGTTTGTTAGATTCAGGCTTAATGGGGACTTGTTAGTCCAAGTCCAAGTGATATAGGTTGTTGGTTTCTCTAACCAAACCGGAGATTGTAGACTGCTGTCAGCAAACTGCACTATGGAATGCACTCACGGATCGCTGATAGGAGAACGGACACTTAGCTGGTGAGGATTGCTTCGTTAGTCATTGAACAGCGATGATGTCATAGGGCGTTGTGAGTTTTCGCCAAATAAATGAATGTCCCCCGAGAATTCATTGTGATGCCTACGAATCTAGACTGCGATCAAATAAGGTCATCACCATCAGGCCGCTCGAGGCCGAGCAGTACTCGGCATGCCCGCTTTAGATCATATCCCGAAGGATCTTCATGGATTCATTCGTGAAACAGACCTTCACATTTTAGGAAGTGTTCTAACAATAAAAGTAAGTTTAGCCGTGTGTGCGGGTTCACCCCTCATCCTAATATCCACCATACTGGACTTCCCCCCCCCCATCCAGTCATCTTTACGGGTACATCGAAACCGGTCCGTTGTGTGTCCCGGACGGGGCTGTACGGGTCCCCGTGACCGGGATCATCGGGGACGCGCAAGCGGCCACTTTAACCGAGGATTGTCTCGGACCAGGACAAGCCAAATTGACTCTCGGCACTGGAACGTTTCTCAATCTGAGCACGGGGTCCAAACCACGAGCACTTATGAATGGTGAGTGTGTTGTGTTGGCTCCCAGATCACCATTTATCATTCATCCTAGTATGCTCGACTGACTCAGGACATCCACGTCATTTCCATTCCTTTGGCTTAACAAGACAATTGAAACAAAACCGTTTTTCTTTCGCAATGGAGTTTCTTACACCTATCTCTTGTTTTCAACACACCGGTTTTGCAGTTTGAAATTTATCTATTGTACACGAATGACGACTTATTGCTGACCGATTTTACTGCTTACTATCAGTTGTTTACCCCGTGCTAACCATCTGATCGACATATTTTGTCGGACCGAACCAATCGGCTGGAAATGATCAGGTTAGGGATTCTCTCTCTACATAATTCTCAAGTTAGCTCTTGCACTGATGCAAACTGCGATCAGGCGGTTGATTCTTATCGTGCGCAGTTGTCATTCGCATCACATGAAAACACAGGAGCTGTCTAACAATGTGTGGTTGAAGATGATGATGATGATGATCGACAATCAGGTTTTGCTAATTTTATCACTTCCTGGTTATTTTGTCAATATGGAACTGTTCAAGTTGTCAGGTCGAAATAAACTATTTGATCCTGCACGCCCAAAAATGAAGAGTTTAGGTTAGGCTAGCGATACAAATCAGTTGTGTTAGATTTTGGCATGATGCGAACGCGAAACTGGAAGACAGAGAGAGGGGTTGGGATAAAAATGAAGACATTGAAATGAGACGAAATAGATTGCAGAGAACAACAAGAATAAGTATACGATTCTTTTTTCGTTTGTTTCACCGTGCCCACAGCCTAGTGTTTATGCTGTTATGGAAAACGGAGTTTCAATAAACAAACTGCACAACAATCGTGCCACCAACTTCTATTCTTAACCATATCATAGCATCCGTAGCCATCTGCGCTTGGGCCCAAGCCTGCAAGGCGAGCTGCATCAAACAAAGCCATGTGATAATCTGACACCCACCGCAAGTATACGTAAAACATGACCAAGATATCGGAAGCGGTGTGAAGTGATTACTTCTTTCAGAGAAGGACTTTCCGCACCCAACGCACGACGACTAACCCCATCATGGCCCACCCAATGTTCCCTCCAAACACGGACAATGAAAGCTTCGGAGACATCAGTGGTCGAATACAGAAAGTCGATTAGTATCCTCAGCACAGAGGTGCCCTGTTTCGCAACCGTAAAACAAAATACCAGGAACAGCGACAATGTGCGCTCTTCCCTTAAAGGAAAGTCAGATGACACGGTTGCGCCACAAGTCTAGCAATCTTAAAAGGCTTAAAATAATATGAAAGCTACAGAAAGCAACGGCCTAGTCCATAAAGTAAATGTTTTCATTTAAATTGTTTGCATGGAGATCAGAAAGAAGATTGAGTCAACCTGAATACGGTCACAATGTTTGTGCAACAGTAGCTCATGACGACCGGACGCAATATGTGCGACACAACACAAGAAACGAACTTATCGAGTCGGATCACTGAAGCAGACAACAGTTCATCGGGGAAACTTGCTAGTGTAATAAACTGGGACAGACTCCGAAATAAGGCTAGATAAACAATTTGGCGCACTGGAGAAATGCATTGAGTCATAAATTTCCACAGCAACGAAAATCCACGAATTCGATAAGCGTTTGATATCGCTCTGCCGTAAAACCTTTACGGTCCGGGCGAGTAATCTCACGGTTTAACACTAGTCTGTTTCCAGTATCGCCACTGGTCAATCCCTAAATCTAAATGACTTGATTTAATGAGCCTATGGTAGTGAAGTAGCGATAACGGTTGTCCTGTATCGAGTATGCAGTTCTCAGTGTTGATAACTGTTCTCCAGGCCCGCTACACTTACTTTCCCTAGATCCTTTTTCGTCAGTGCACGTATCCAGCATTCTGTTGTTGTATTCCCACTGAGCGAGTGCTCACGTGACCAGACGGAATCTTGTTCAGTTCTGCTCTTGCCATATGACAATCCTCCTTGTAGAACACCCCACTCCACCTTTTGGGGCACTTTGCAACTGGCATACTCAATGCGTAAACGATCCGTTTTTGTTTGCACAGTTCGGGGTGGTGGACACGAATCGCTACAGCCTCGGCTGTGCAAAGCATAATCTGCCGCAATTGTTTGGTCAGATTAATCGGGGCTCTGTAAATGACCTTAAATAACTTTTCAACATCTACCGTATGCCCCTTGTTGATAAGATGTTCCACAATTGAACTACGAATGGCCTTTGATGGTCGTTTTCTCAGCCAGGCCGGGTGATGCTCTTGAATCCGTTTAGTCAACTGCCGACTGGTACGACCGATATAGCTGACTCCACAGGAGCAAGTGAATTGATAGACACTCAGAGAAATGGTGGACAGTGGCAGTTGATCCTTGAGTCTCTGAGCCATGGCCGGATAGGATGAGTAGAATCTTTTCAGTTCAGCCGCGTAAACAGTAGAGTTTGATGCTCTTGAGCGTCGCCTTTCGAAGAGTTCACTAATACCTTCGTTGACAAAAGTCAGATTGATTAATAATCGTTTCTTAGGAACGATGTACGGTTGGTTCTTTTGTCTTTTCGTTTTCATATATTCTTTGATGAAGTTGTCTGGGTATCCGTTCTGTCTCAAAGTGCTTTGTAGTTTATCTAGCTCACTTGGTAATGTTCCGTCGGAACAAATCATTCTTGCTCTTTGGGTTAGACAACGCACTAGGTTTCGTCTCTGTTTGATCGGTACTGCACAATGGAAGTTTATGTATTGCCCCATCCACGTTTGCTTTCTATACACACTCTCAATAGTTCCATCTTCATTTCGAAAAGCAGCACGTCGAGAAAAGGAATGCATTCATCCCTTTCTGGCTCCAGTGTAAACTGAATCGACCGATGTGCTTTGTTGAACATCGACAGAAATATTGCGAAATATTTGTTGTCTCATTGCTAATGGCGAAGATATCATCAACGTAGCGACAATAAGTATCCAGTTGAGAGATCTTGTCCCCGAGTTCGTGGTTTTCCAACTTGGTCATAAAGACATCTGCTAGTAATGGGCCAAGTGGTGAACCCATTGCCACACCATCGACTTGGCGGTACATATGTCCATTACATAAGAATTGAATGTTCATTGTGCAACGTAAAAGTAGTTCTTTCAGATCTGATGTCGGAACCACGGTGTTTATCTGGTTTTGTGCTATGTAATTCCAGAGGTAATCAATCGTTTCAATCAGTGGCACGTTTTTCAAATTGTCTCGATTTCAATTCTTTTTAATTCTCTTCACTTGTTGTTGCTGCTTTTGTTTGCTCAACATCTCTCAGTTTGTGGGATCTCCATTGTTAACTAGCCACACACACAGATAAATCATCGTGGTTACCTAACGTGCATTCACTGGCTTCGTCCCCAAGTTTATTGGCCGCTCACTCTCATTTCCTAATTCTTTTCACGTGAAGGTTTTTACCCCGTTGTGGGCTGGGCTTCCACCGACCGATTCAATGATACCGCTTCCGTGTGCGAGCGGACCACATTCACCCATCAGGGCAAATCCAAGACAACCGCACTGACCACATGCGCTTCCATTCACTCGTTGGGTTCCGATTCCGAATCGATTCGCACATCCGATGTGACCTATTTGCTTGAGGGCTCGCATGAGAACACTGGCACACTCATTGAATGGCTTCGAACAGAAGGTGGGCGATTTTCTCCTTACCAGTTGTCATTTTCTAATCATTTTGTTCTCCACTTGTTTATCTCTGCCCCACCATTTCCTCTCTTTGTACATGTGTGTATGTGTGTGTGTGTGTGTTGTGTGTTGTGTGACACATTTGTTGGGCTCATGTCCGTAAGCTTTTAACATTTAGTGAGTTTTAGCCACGGTATGCATTGGGAATCTGACCGCCGATTGGACGAAATTTTGATTTTCGATGGATGCTATTTTATCGATTCATTTTTCTCCCCATTCGTCTGAAATGTGGGCGGTAATTACCCAAACACACTGTAGATTCCGGTTGATGGGAACGAGTTTGCGCGCACTGTGACATTTCTAATTTTATATATTCATTTTCGATGGCACGGAAGTTTGAAAAAAAACGGTTATTTTCTGGACGGGCTATATCTAACAATTCAGTGAGCGTACACAAGATCCTTCCAACTTGGATCTGTGTTTCTGTGGATCGATGGATTGACCTTGACTGACAATACTCTTCGTTCGGTGCAGTGCTCAATTAACGTTTCGTTTGCCGTGTATGCGACGAGATTCATTCACTAGTTCTAACTAGTCGCGCGGCTTTGTTCTAGCGACATGATACTGGTGCACAGATGTTGAGAAACATGACTAATGATATTGTTGATGATAATTGGATAATTCTGCTTGCTGTACTATGTGTTATGGTGCTGTGTTATGGTAGTGTTGACTGGAATCCGGGCCTGAATAATCCAGATGGATCGTGCTTTGGTCCAGCAACACTATGGACCCTGGTCAATTTGGAGAGTGTTTTGTCGACACAGATGTCTGGCCTCGCTGCTCGGGTCGTAAACCCCAGATTATATAGAGGAGTAGCCTGGATACCCTCGGGTTAACAGAGCTGAATGCTACCAGGCGCGTCTCCGGGTTGTGGATAGGGGGATACCTTCACCGAAGAAGGTTAGCTGTGAATAAGTTGTGGCATACCGCAACAAATAAGCCATCGCCAACAAACAGCGGTGGCACTACCAGGGCGTGGTGGGTTTCAGGCTGGTCACCTGGCTCCTGTTTAAAATCCGCATAAGCTCAATGACGTTGTCGTGACAAAGATCGATGTGACTGGCCTTTTAAAACTAAAGCCATTGACCCCCTCATTTCCCAGGTGAGGGATTACTTCTTGATGCCTTTAGGTTCGCACTTGGTTGTGCAAACCCTAGAGATGCGCCCTGAAAATTGAAAAAAACGCCGAGTAACGCTAGGGTCGTCTCTCGTAGCAAACTGCCAAGGAACTTCGTGATCATGATCATGTCTGGAGCCGGCTTATCCTTTCCAAGGAGTCAGCCGCAGTAAAGTAAAATAGAGGAGCAGGCGGTGTTCACGCTTGGGTTCGAATTCCACTGCGGTTGTTGATCTTTTCACAAATGAATTACGGATATATCTTAAAATTTCCGGACTAAAACTTGACCATTGACTGTATTCACGAACACACAGAGATCCGGTGTTTGACTGTTTCCCTGTTCTTCAAGTAACTTTTTTTATTGTACATCTTGGTGTGCTAAACAGTAGACCGGGAAAGCCTCATAGTCAAGAGGACCTGCTATTCATTGATGGAAACGAGTAACCTAGGCTACGAGGTTTGGAGTGGCGAACCACATAAGATCCGTTGAATTAGGTGTGGTATTGAACCGGACGACAACAAAGCTCAATGCACAAAATCATCACTATTATTATCTTGAAACATTGGGTCCCCTTTATCCAATTCGTTAGAACCGAAAGAAGACAAATACTG